GATTAAGTATCATAATAAACTGAATCATTATGGACTTGTTTAATTTATCTATGTTGTTACTGATATATTTTATTATTTGATTTATTTAAAAATTAAACAAGTTCATAATTATTCAACTTAAGTAAACAAATAACTAGTTATTTTTTCCTGTTGATATTTAGAACAACAATCAATAAAAACATTTCGCTGTTTCGCGCCTACTGAAACGAATTCTGTCTAAGTTTAATTCTGCCTGCGGCATATACCCATGCAGACAGATAAATGGCAAAACGCTGTTTTGATGCATTGACGATGCGAATTGAAGAAAACAACGCTATAAAACTCGTTTACTAGAGAAATGCAAGAAATAAACGCGTGAAAACGGTTATTTTCCGTTTAACGAATTTAACGAAGATATTAGAGTAATGAACATGTTTTAACGTCTGTATGCAAAGAAATTACAGAAGTTAATGCGTTTTAACACAGATATATCATACATTTTAATGAATTGGCATAGAAAAAATGAATTGAAGAGAAGCTGCTTGTTAATACTGATTAATGGTGACACGACAGTTGAGCTCCCGACAGTTGAGCCCCGACAGTTGAGCCCCCGACAGTTGAGCCCACCGACAGTTGAGCCCACCGACAGATGAGCTCCCGACAGATGAGCTCCCGACAGTTGAGCCCGAAGTAAAGAAAAAAGGATAAGCCCAAGAAAATATTTCTTTATTTGAATAAATTTATTTTCATATCAAAAATTGAAGAGAGAACGTACTCGTTTAAAGTATAAGTCTCTTGTTACAGAATCAAATGTAGACACTAATTGTTGTAATTGTTCATCTAACAACTCGTACTTGATTCGTTTTTTGAGTTTTACTTGACCAGTTTGTAATTGTTCAGCCATTACAAATGTACCATGTTGCTCCATTTTTAAATCAGCAATAGACTCATAAATCGATGGACTTTGACGAACAGAATTCTAAATGTAAGCAAAGAAAGTTCTATGCGAAGAAATTAGTTCAAAACTTTATATTACTAAAATGGCTCTGTGCCAACCCTCATTTCCATTATTTGTACGTGCTTGTTGTTGATCCAAACGGTAAAAACAATTCCATATAGCTATAGGAAAACGTGGAGCTCGACGTCGATTATTTCGAACAAGACGACCGATAAAATATTCTTCAAAGTAATCCACAAAGTCTACCATAATTATGAAGATGAATATTTTTTTCAATAATTAAAACAGAAATTTTCTACCATCAATTAAATCAGGAGCATCAGCTTGTAATTTTTCAAACTCTTCTATTACAAATTGTTCAGGTATAAATGCAAGACAGGCAAATTTTTTTAAAGAATGCTGAACTTGACGATCATTATTAAAAGGTTCCTGCAACCCGAGAGTCTAAATCAAGAAACAAAATATTAAGCATATATCTAAGTAACAATATATACAATCCTATCCACCGATACCAACCTGTACGTGCCTCCACAGGCACTGTTTGTAATGAAAAAAACAACCATTGAGTTTTGTTTGAGGTAGTTTTTGTTTGATCACGTTGTGTACAGCTTTTTCAAAATCAACAGTTATTGATAAAGGACATTGAGAAACATGATTTAGTACAACGTCAAACATTTTGTGATAAATATCTTCAGATTTTCCAGATAAAATACAATAAACTAATGGTAGTGTACGTGCACAAAAACGACCGTGAACGGTATACAATTGGTGAAATAAATGAGGCGCTATCTACGCAAAATAAGCATGAAAAAATTCTTCCACCAAATAAAAATTGAAATTAAATCTACCTTAAACGTTCCGTCGCAATGCCATGAGTCTGAATTTGATAGACGATCTAGGTCATCGTCTGAAGACAGTATGATTATTCTGTCATTAGCATCTTGATTGTCATATAACAAGAACCGATCACCACAATTAGTTATTTGAAGTTCATCAGGAATATGAACTTCATCAAGTGAAGTTGGTCTTGGTAAAGGTATGTCTTTTTTCTTTCTTTTTCGTTCTATAGTACGTTGACATGAATAGTAATTTGGAACAGCTGTTCCATCATGTTTGTTAACGTTCAGTAAAGCTTCATGAATTATACGTCGAGGTGGATCATGTGATGTTGTTGCACTCTTGATGATATTTGATTTAGACTCCATTGATATTATTTCTTCAGGATTTGACGCATGATTATGATCAGTAACTTTATCATATGTTGTACCATTAAAACATACACGACCTGCACAACTATTTTTACAGCAGCGCCAAATTGTTTTAGATTTATTGGCACGTCGATAACGAAAACCATCGAGCAGAAGTTGATCCTTGTTTTTTGAAGACATAACAATTGACATCGTATAGTAATAATAATACAATTAGCGAGAACAATAATTCCCAGTAGATTAACGAATGATATATTGTGGACGAACTTTTTTTTGTAATTTAGTAAAGACAATTGATTCCGTGATATAGAAGAATACTAGCAAGCTATCAATAACATGTGTAGATGTCGCACATTTGTGTCTTCTATTTAAGACTAGTTGAATAAAATTATCCAATGCTTGTATTGTTTCTTTCATTAGTAATCAATTGAGGCTCAACTGTCGGGAGCTCAACTATCGGGAGCACATCTGTCGGTGGGCTCAACTGTCGGGGCTCAACTGTCGGGAGCTCAACTGACGGTGTACCCTGAAGTACCTATCAAATATTGTTTTGATCCTATGTGATATACATGTAACGGAGAATGAATGGAAAAGACTATAGATTTAATTAAAAAAGGAAATAATCTAAAATAAGGCCTCGATCGATTTATTTTAACTAGCTTCCTTCACAATTCGAATTCTACAGAGAGCAATTTTTGAAAATTTTTATACGTGAATGTTTATAATCTAGAAATCGGTGTGGGTTTAATTTATTTCGTTGAAGTATTTGTCGAAAGCTCTTGTTATCAGATGATGATTCGAAGTTTAAAAAGGTAAATTTGTTTTGTTAGGATCATGTTGAAAAAACATAATCGATTACAAAAATGAATTAACGTCCATCGATGGTGTTTCGATTAGCAGTTAATCGAGGAGTAGGTGGCATTTTAAGTGTATGGATGGTAGTACGAATTGATTGTGAAGTTCGATGAGATGAAATAGATCCATTTGTATCTGCATCAAATTGATGCATATCACGAATTCCGGTAATTGAATCTAAAGATAATTAATGTTGTCACAATAAGCTATCCTACTAAAATGATACCTTTAGAAGAAAGTTGACTCCACCGCTGTTTTAAACAGTTTTCGAATTCATTGTTGACGACATCACCGGACAGCCATCGTACTTCAATAGGACGATTAGGTTCGGGCATCTTAGTTGTCATGGATTTCGAAGTATCTATTCGACGAGGTCTTGCGATAACTAGTCGATCATTTTTGTCGACACACCATTCATAAAATTGTTTTGGTGACGAGAAGGAAGCATTTGGCCCACCTTTAATTATATGTTGTGTAGCAGTTGACTTAATCACTGCTCCCACGCCATCACAAGGACCTTTTCCATGTCCAGATGCACTAAATGTCCATGATGCGCCAATATTAAAATCTACATGATGATGAGCTAGGTTGTACATGTTGTATTTATCTAATGAAAAGAAAATATTTCATTCGAATGCTATCTTGAAATACTGAATACTTACTCTTGAAGTGAGCTGATGCACCGTCACTCACATAATTCAGCTTGAAAACGTTTGGGTATTGTTTTTGAAGAAAATTGACGATGAATTTCTGTCCAGAGTAAACGAATTTTGTATCATGTGCAAGATAATCGGAGATTATCACCATGTTACGATGTTCTTCACCAACTTTTATGTATATTGTAAAGATGGTTGCTTGTTGACGTGAATAGTATGCTGATTGAATTTCTCTTTGTATAATCAACGAATAATTTTGAGCAAAGTCCACCTGTACAATTGCAAAAGTGGTGATACTGGACGTCTCTTTAATTAAGGCAATGTAGTCGCGTTGTTCATGTGTGTAAAAGTTGTGTATAATGAAGTTCGGCCATAAATTGTCGATTTCTTCTAAAAGAGCTCGCAAGGTACCAGTCAAATGAAGAAGTTCGTAACGTGAATTAAATTTCTTCCATATTGACCATGAAGCTGAATCTTCAGTTTCAATATCTATACCATCAGATAGTATAGCAGATGCTGTTAAATGACGACAATTGGCACATTGACGATAATGACAAGATTCTGAAGGAGATTTGCAAATAGTTTCTTCAATTAAGCTTTTTATCGTGACGAGGCGTTGAAGCGATTTTGATATTCCCTAAAATTTAGAAAATAAATTGAATCATAAATCGTAATAATGAATTACCTGAAGCAGTAAATCAGCATTCTCGTGATAAATACACATACATGATTCATGAGTTGTTTGTTCCCTCACCCAAACTGGTCGTAGTGAAAAGAACTTGGATCGACTTATTTCCATGTTTGGATGCTTCAATTTGAACTGTTGAAATGTCTCACCAATGTTCGAATGAAGAAAACGTAAAGGAACGGGCTTTCTAGATGGTGGTGGATGAATGACCTGCTTCTTGTATGATGTTTCCCGGCTGACTTCGTCACTTGTGTAGAAGTTATGCACTGCAAGTTCAATTTGTCCATCAAGTGATTTATTTCCTCGTCGATCTTCAGGTTTCGAGAAAACACAATCAGTTGTTCGCAGCTCTATGGATTGTCGAGCTTGGTGTTGTGAACCACCAAACCAGTTAGCGATTCGATCGCGACCCCAATCTGGTGGCAACATTGTCATAAGTCGTTGTTGTTCTTCGTTGTCGCTGATACTGAACAGTTCTCGTAGATGATTTAGAATCCAAGCAGCATCATCAATTGAAACATTAAGTGAGTGAAATGTTTCAGGTTTTTCATCACGACGAGTAGCTGGCGCAATTGTATTACTCCACTCTCGAAGTTTGAAATAAGTTTCGTCGATAGCATTTGAAATTTGTTTGCTATTACGACTATGAAAAAAAGAATTACATGATTTTGATTTTACAAAGAAAAGAACTCACAAATCATCGATTTTCTGGACATTCACAAATTGAAATACTTGGTTCAACTTTCTTTTAATATCTTCTTGTTCAACATGTGTATCATCATCCATGGGAGAGCATTGTTGACAACCTGAATCGTTGTGCAAGTTGTTGTAGTTGAGTGTTTCTTCACAATCATCAGTATCCATATTTGTTTCTTCGTCATTCATAAAAAGATTTTCTTCCTTTGTATAACATGTTGAACAAAGATAATCACCTTCTTCAAGTTTTGTCGAACTTCCGTTTAAAATACTTTCACTATGGCTGTTGATATATTTAGCGAGTTGTTCGCTTATTGATCTTTTCCCTTTTGGATGTGATGGTGTTTGACCAACTTTTGAACACCGCTTTTTTCCATTAGATAAAACTTCATCATGATAAGGATGAGAACACCAAATGTGTGATTTACCAGGCATAATAATTAATGAGTTTGACAAGTGACAAAAAACAGTTAAGTAAGTAATATCTTACGTATATAGTAGAACCGACGAGGATGAATCATACGTTTTTCTTTACGAATCCCTGATTTTTACTAATATCACAGCGCCTCCTTTTGTATTAATACATATATTATCGATTGATGTTTAACCCAATCAAAACATGTCTCGTTTCAAACTACTACCATCATTTATAATAGTAATTCTTAACAAATACTTCAACGAAATAAATTAAACACACACCGATTTCTAGATTATAAACATTCACGTATAAAAATTTTCAAAAATTGCTCTCGGTAGAATTCGAATTGTGAAGGAAGCTAGTTAAAATGAATCGAGCAAGGCCTTATTTTAGATTATTTCCTTTTTTAATTAATTCTATAGTCTTTTCCATTCATTCTCCGTTACATATATATCACATACGATCAAAACAATATTTGATGGGTACTTCAGAGTTCATGCATATTGTGCAGATTCTAATGCAGTTTTCCATGCTCAATCTGAATACATTATCAGGCTTAGAATTTAAACAAATACTAAGGTGTTATTAGTTTCATTTTTGTGAAAAAAATGCATTTTTTTATGCAAAATAATCATAAGGGAAAAATATATGCTTCTATTATTTCACTCATATGTTCATGAAAATAGATTTGAATATTCAATAATTTAAAATCAAAATACTCATCGTTAAAAGCTCTACAAGTCCTGAACATTTTAAGGAATTTGGATATATATATTAAAGCAAAATAATTAGATTTGACTGATAAATTTAAGAAAATTGACTAAAAAATTGTCATCGAAAATAGTTTTGACGCTCGTTCATTCCAAAATTAGAGTCGGGAAGAAAACTAACTAGTACATCTTGTAGAGCAAGCTTTGCTCTATCGAACTGCTAGTGCCACTATTTCCATGAATTCTGACTTTCTGATCAAATTTTTCAAACACTGGACATCTCCTTAGCGACTTCGTGGACAGTATAAAAGTCGTCAAAATTGTTTCAATTCATACGGAGTCTAATGCAGTTTTTCACGAGGAATCTGAATATGGGGTTGGTTTTAAAATTCTAGTAAAAAAAGTGGGACTTTCATCGCTATTTCGAAAAAAAATTCGTTTTTTTTTGCTGAAAAAAATGAAAGTGCATTTTTTGTATTTTACCTATATCTTTGCGAAAACAAAGTTTATTTTAAAAAAGTTTATTACCAAAATGATCAGCGAAAAATTCTCTACAAACCCTGAAAGTTTCAACAAATTTGGACGTGGTCGCCGGATCGGCCTGGCGAGATCCGGTGGAATGACCCATATAATAAAAACATTGAATTAAGTTGAAAATAGACGTCTAAATATGTTTCTTTTCTCTACAATAGTGTATTTCATTAGAAATCCTTTCGGAAGTGTAAAATCAACTATTCGGATGAATCGCTTGATCTATTTGAAAAGAGTGAAAGCTATGAATGTAAGCCCTTATTCTCATCTTCTGTAATGACATGAATTACTACGATATAGTTTGCTCACGTTTCTTTCTCTCTGCGCTTATCACTCGTTCATTTGATTATTTCATTCTCGTCTTTTCTGTCTTGGTTCATTTTTTGCTCACTTTTCATCTTTATCATTGTAGCCTCTTCATTCCATAGCAGCTAACGCTTTAATGCATCTATGTTTAAGTTCCTTCATGAATCGAGCAGATTCCAAAGAAAAAAGGATTTTGAAAGTGGATACATATCAGAAGCAAGATTTAGAGTGGTTTTTGATAATCATGAAATCGCTCATTGGTATCCAGATAAGTGTTGAGAGACAATGATAATTCATCATTTTTTCAATTACGTAAAATTAAGAACATGTAATTAATAGTCAACTAAAGGGTCTAGCTACAGATTTTCTAACTGCCTATTATGGTCTACATAAGTCTGTAAGTGCATTATTTTCTCTATTTCATAATTTCAAGCTGGTACGATTAACGAATACCAGTTTCTAATTCACAATACGAGATCTTCTGTTTACAACGGTTTTTATTTCGCTTACCTTGATTTACATTTCTAGGTGATCGAATCCAATTAGTGAGAAGTGGTAAAATAATTCTTAAGACTATTTGTAAACCTCCGATCACTCCAATAATAGTAGTGAAAACAACAAGCCATGTATTTTTATGTACATACGAGTATGTACATGTGATTGGTTGACATCGATCATAGTATGCTTTGTGTGACGTCGTATTAATCCATTCTTCAACCATTAATTGATCAACAATACTACGAATTGTTGAATCTGGCGCAAATCGGCTAGGCAAAGTTTGATTGAGGGCACTTGTGTTCAATTCAATATAGGGATTAATGAGGTGTTTCACTGTTTCAATGCATGATTGAAAACGAGTATTTTCATCGATATAAGTTGGTACTGTGCGTAAACGAGTTTTAGCACATGAACAATTAAATCCTCTATATTCATACCCGACTGGTACTATACGATACAAATAACGAGTGATATTTTGATTGTTTGTTGACGGGACAATCAAAGGACAGAAATTGGTCATGAGGCCTGAAGCAAGTCCATTGGCATAAGCGGAATCACGAATCAATTCAAGAGATTGACTAAATCCTTGTGTTGTACTCGTAATGAACAAATAAATCAACGCATTAATTTGATTCTCAAATATATCACGTGATGTCACTGTTCCAGAAATGTATTGAGTACCATAAAAATCGATAAGACCATCATTAATGGTTTTTAAAGTCAGGTCACAACAAGAATCAAGTACGCTGAATAGAGAGCTAGCAATATATCGAAAATACAATGGTATACCAGTAAAATTTGATCTTCTATCAAATAAATTACGCCAAGATAATGTTCTGAAGATACTTTGCCAGATTTAATGATGAGAAACTGTTATATTGATAAATGTTTTGTATTGTATCGTATTGATCGAAAAGGGACAAACGAGGGTCAGATTATACAAAGAATATAGTTGAGAGTATTCTTCATAAGTAGGTTTTTCTACAACGATACTGCGAGTCACAGGTATCTTTGATGTGTAAATGGCAAGTATGCAGAGTATGGCGATGAATGAAACAATGTAAACACGAGTGATGATACGTTGTGTATCGATCTCTCTCTGTTCAACTATCACAGTCAATGGTGAACGGAATAAATTGAATTGAATAATTGTATTTTTTATTTGACTTGCCCATAAACGCAAATACTCCATTTTGAGCTAAATTTGCGACAAGAAGGCCTAGTTAATGATCTGAAGTGAGATAAAAAATGTTGGAAAACTTTTTGAAGAGCAATTTTGAAAATGAAAAATGTCAATATTACAAGAAAGAAAAAGGCATTTCAATTGAGAAGACATACTCATTATAGAGAAGCAACTATCTAGAAACTCATTTACATAGAAGAAAAACAGCACAACTCATTCATAGTTAACAAAAAGCATCGTGCATGATTTTCTTGAAATCAGCCACTTCCAATGATATAATATAAATGAAAAAAATTTTTCTAAAAAAAACTAGAAATATGTTTGTTTCTAAACTGAACTCTTGTGTAAACAATGAGTATTTACATGCGTCAGAGTTTACGTCATTTGTTATTGCAATCGGAAGATTTTAAAAGTATTTAAATTATATAGGTTCTAACACTGAGGAGCACTGAGTTTTTATTCACATGTAAGGATCCTTCGAAAACATCATCAAACGTTTTCTTGTTTTCTTTTAATTTGCAACAAATCTGTACTTTAGAACTACTATAAAAAATGTCGAATAGATTGAGAATCGTGTTATAAATACGAAAAGAACTCCAAAGAAAGCTTATCTATCGAGTTCTTAATGGTCCTAAAATACGAAAATCATACTAAATCAATCTTGGAACTATAGAGCAGAAATCTATTCCAAAAACAAGAGGATACTGAAGCAAATGTGTTCCTCTCTTTCTTCGTTTATTTTCACTATATTTTGAACTCTCTAATCATACATATAATTTAGAGTTTTTTTTTCTTCAATAAAAGATATACCACATATATTATAATTCATTATTATTCTACATCTCATGTTACACTATCAATTAGAATAAAATTTGTCAAGTTTTACGCGTTGAAGTTATTCAGACGGTATTCGGTAACTTTCTAAAGATTTTATCACAAGTTTCATTCATAGTATTCACAATATTAGTGTTTTTAAATATAATTTAGAAAAACTAATCATAGAGCAATCAAAAAAAAGTTAGAACACAAAGAAAAAAAAAGATATTATTAATATGAAAGGAGCAGTCCTCGAAAATTGAAAAAAAGCATAAAAAAAAGTAAAGCAATTATGATAAAGCGTACTAGGATAGCTAGCTAATTAAATTGATTTTCCATAAAAAAAAAGATATTTTTAAGTTAAAATAGAATAACAGAAGCAATACAGTAAAAAATATAATATCTGAATGGCATTACACACAAGAAATAAATGACTATCAAATAATCGTGTTTATATTGTGATCACTAGATAAAGAATCAATTCAACACTGACAACCAGTAAAAATCATATACAAAAAGAAAGTCGTAGAAATGAGCAGAATATTCATTTTTTCTTTGCTGAAGCTGTTACTGTAAAGCTTTGGTTGCCATTCATCTTGATGATGTTAATGAAAAGTGTTTTACAGTAAATTTTTCAACATTGTAATTATTCAAGCATTTGATGCAAAAGTAATTGCTACTATCTCCAGTTACAGTTCATCGCCGAGGAGCATTTGGCAATGCAATTTTTTTTTGTTGAAAAGGCGATATCTTAACTACAAAGTTTATCAGCCATATCTCCAGACCAAATTTGAGAAAGAAGAAAAATCAAACGTCTCTACAAATTTCTTACAGCTTGGCACATTTTACTTCTCTTGAGAGAGGCTAAATTTTTTTGGGTGCAGAGCCTTTATTTATTAACAAAAGATGTTACATACTGAAAAGAAACACATTGTGAAATAAACTAAAAAAAAAGGAGAAAGGACAATGTGTTACAAGAAAGGCTGGTTATAAGATGGAAAGATGCATGACTGATGTCTTATGTCTCGGAAGAGAGTTGATGGGATGTATGGATATTCGTAGTCTGTTCTCGATTTAATGTTTATGTTTTGTGTTGTGTATGTTTAATATCGTCGTTTTGTGTATGATCTTGTATTTGGTTGTTGTTTGGTTTGTAAACCATAGTGTAGAAAAGACGGGAAAGTAAATAGCTGAATAAAGTAAAAACAGTAAGCTAGTCGATTGACTCATTTTCATATGTAATATGAAAATGAAGGAAACAAAGAAATAGCTGAATACAGTATAACGAATAAGGAAATAGATTGACTCATTTTCATATATAGTATGAAAATGAAGGAAAGAAAAAGAAATAGGTGAATACAATAAAATGAATAAGCAAATGGATTGGTTCAGTTCTTGTTATATATGAAGCAAACTGTTAGTATGCGATTCCGATATAACAATTTTTGTACGGATTTCATTGGCCTAACAATGATTTTGCTTCTCGATGATGATATTAATAGTAAAATGGTTAGGTGGTTTCATTGGAAATTTTTTCAAGTATATGTTGGAGATGGTTCCTTAGTGTAATATCATTATTTGTTGTAGCTGTTTGAATTGATTTGTGAAGTAGTTCTGTTGCGTAATCTTTGATTTTAGGGACGTTGTTGATCTTGTGGATGTATTCGATCGATGTATAAATGGATAATCCGAGTACAGCTCGAATTGCTTTATTTTGCATAATTTGTAGTCGCTTCCAAACGTTTTGATCAGCAGTCAGTAAGACAGAATAACCATAAAGAATGATTGTGCGTACAATTGATTTAAAAATATTTATTATGGTCTTGTTATTGGGTTCATGTGCAGTTCTCGATAAATATCGAAGAAGACTGATTCGAGGAGCAATCTTTAATTCGATATGATTGAGATGACTTCGCCATTTTAATCTTTTGTCTATGATTACACCCAAGTATCTTGTATTATCCTGTGGTTTAATGATGGTGTTTTCTACTTTTACTTCCACTGGATGTTTGTACTTCATTCTTGGGTGTATGCTAAAATGGATCAGCTCTGTTTTTGTTGGTTGTAATTTTAATTTCCATGACTGGCACCAACTTTCAAATGCATCTATGGATTGTTGCAGCCTTGATGTAAGATTTGTCATGGTGTTTGCTGATGTTAATAGTGCTGTGTCATCGGCGAGTAACCCATGTTCTGTGTGAGTCGGTATTCCATTCATCGAATCAGCCGTGTAAATAATATATAATAAAGGTGATAATGGAGATCCTTGTGGAGTACCGCTCTTTAAGTTAAATGAACGAGATAAGATATTTTCAATTTTAATTGTAGCAGTCCTATTGTGTAAGAAAGCTATGAGATATTTGATGAGGTATGGAGGGAAACGAAAATCATTTAATTTGTATATCAAACCATCATGCCACACTGAATCAAAAACAGCTTTGATATCGAAAAGAACAACAGCTGAATGTCGTCTTCGACTATCACGTCTTAGTTGTCCCTCAGCATATCGTTCTAGTCGTACTATGTTGTATATGGTGCTTTTTCCTGGTCTGAAACCAGCTTGGTGTTCTAGTAAGATATTTCGTCGTTGGAGATCAAGCAACAAACGTTGCTTGATTATTTTCTCCAATAGTTTGCCTAAGCAACTAAGGAGACTAATCGACCGATAACTAGACGGTTGTTGTTTGTCTTTCTTTGGTTTTAATAGAAGAATAATATTGGCCTTTTTCCACATTGTTGGTATATAACCTTCTTTCAGAATTACATTGAACAGATCAGTTAGATGTTGTATGAGTAATCCTGAATAGTTTTTCAAGCACGTATTGTGAATGTTGTCTGGACCACTGGAGCTGTTTCGAATGTGTTTAATGTGATACTTAACTTCTTTAGGTGCGATTTTCTTCCACTTGGTTGTGTTTGAAGAGATTATAAAGCAATTTTTGATTTTATTTGCTTGGCGTGTAACTTGGTCATGGAATGGTAGTGAATCAGAAGATTGAAAGTAGACTTCTTTTTCGAAATAATCTGCAAACAAGTCTGCTTTCTCTCTATCTGTTGTTGCTATGGTGTTGTTGTATTTCATGGTTGTTGCATATGTTTGCTTGATTCGTTTGTTGTGAAACTTGCGGATCGTTAACCAAACTGCATTAGAATACATTTTCTTATGCCATAGAGAAGACATTAACTTGTTAAAGTTTTTTCTTTTGTCATTTTTAATTGAATTGGTAAGTAAGACTTTGGCATTATAGTATTGTTGTTTATCTATATTGTTTCCAGTCTTCTTCCATCTTCGATATGACTGATGTTTAAGTTTAATTAAGTTCTTTGATGCTTCACTTGGTGAATAGCTTATAAGTGTTTGTTTAGATGGTGGGATAGCCTCTTGTGTTGCAATCAATATACTATTGGTAATAAATTATGTATATTCTTCTATATCTAATGTTGTAACAAAGGGTCTATCATTATTCCATAGCATCAGTTGTTGATCTAATATGCTTCTAAGCTTTGACCATTTTGCTGCTTTAAAATTAAAAGATATTCTTGGAGATGTAGGTTTTGGTTCAACTCCAATTGGAATATCAAATGTTATTGGTTTATGTCCACTTAAAGTGCCGATTGTTGGATGAGTTTCGACATTTGATATGAATGACAGAAGTGGTTGACTTACTAGTATCCAGTCGAGTTTTTCTTCATAATTATTCTTTTCAAATGTCGTACTATCATCATCAACACATTGAATAAAACCTTCTTTGATTAATTCTTGCAGCTGTCTTCCTTTGGCATGTGTCTTCCTTGACCCCATTTCATTTAATGTTGCATTCAGATCACCTACAATAATGCAGTTGTTGTTGATGTCATAAAGTTCTTGGAAGATACCAAGATCAATCTTTGCTTGTGGTGGTACGTAAATGGAGGATATCAGTATTGATTTGAATGGTTGTGTTTCAATCTCTACTGCTATCACGTCATTTTTGTGTGATGTTTTGTTAAGTATTTCTCGACATTTAACATGTTGTTTTACTGTTAATAATACTCCACCATCAGGTTTTCCTACTCGATCATTTCTGAAAATGTTATAACCCATTAAAGAAAACGAATGTTCACTTTTTAGATTAGTTTCATTCACAGAAATGATGTCATATTTAGAGAATCTGACGAGGAGTTCATCTTTGTGTTTTGCGATGGAGGTCATATTAACATGGCAAATACTAATCATCATTATTGTTTGTTCTGAGATCTTTTTTATCTAATGTCGATGAATCTAATGAGCTTTTAGAAGAACGAGCTCGCTTTGTCGACTTTGTTGCTTCTTTTGTGTTCGTGGTGGTTTAGATGTGGTTACGTTCGTGGTTGTTGTTGGTTTAGCTGAAGTAGCAATAGATGAAGTGATAGAATTGATTGTTTCTGATTTCTGTTTTTGCTTGTTCTTGATGTACTTAACTACTTGACTTTCTTCATTTGAATCTGAATCAGACATAGTTAAGACATCTTCATTTTTATCATTGTTGTCGTTGGTGCTGATTGACTTTTCTATTTTTGTAATTTTTTTCTGAAGTACTTTGAATAGTCTATTGGTCGTTTCTTCGATGATGGTTTCCATTTTACTTGTAAGAGCATTAAGAATATCATCAAATGGATTATTTTGTAGGATTTCTTTTTGCTGTTGATATACATTTGGTAATGGTGGAAATTCTCTGGTGTTGTATATTGCTGGTGCTAATATTACTGGTTTGCTTGTTGCTGAATATCGGTTAATCAGGTTTAGCATTATTTTTACTTGTTCTCTATAATACGAACAATCATTTGAAGTTGCTAAATAATTACCTTTACAATTACAACATTTGACTGCATCATTGCCAACAGCACATTGGTCCATGCGATGTTTTTCTCCACATGGAGCACATACTTGTTGTTTTGTTTTGCAGTATTTTCCTATATGATTGTACTTCATGCAAATGTAACATTGTACCGGCTTTGAATTTTGTGATGCTGCTTCAGCAATGAAGTGCATGCAATCCACTTGTAGACCAGTATGCGCAAATGTGTTTCGATTTTGTGGGTCAACAAAACTAATTTTGATTGTTTTGGTTGGCAACTTTGTAGTCTAGTTCGTTAGTCGAACAACATCAACAACATCGAGGCCAACATCCTTCAATCCTTCAGTTATTCGACTTTCAGGAATTTCTATGTCGACGTTTTTAACAAACGCGACTTTTTCCGTATCTTTAATACGTTGAATGGATCGTGGCACATAGATCTTGGCTGTAGCCTGTCCATTTGTTGCAAGAATTGGTGTCAGCTCATTTAACAGACGATTAAATGAGTTGGCATCGACTGCATATATTGTGAAAATTCCCGTTCGACTTAGCTGAATATCAGAAATTCGTAAGTTCTTTAAATGTTGTTTAATGATGTTACTTAATTGTAATTTATTTAGCTTTACGCCCTCTAAAATTAGAGGAGCGGTGCTAAAATTTGATTGCTTTTTCAGGCCAGCCTTTGTTCCTGAAGAAGTCTTTGTTCCTAGAGAATTCTTTGTTCGCAGACTATGACTCATCGCCATTGTTCCTCGAACATCATCTACTGTTGTTTGACCTTGTTCTGCATTAACAGAATTAATGCTATCTTGCCTTTGTTTATTTGCACCTGTTCTGCCTTTTTTTGGAGGCATAATTAAGATAACACCTGATGCAGAAACACCTAGAAATTATTACTTTGATTGATAATTTCAAAAATGATTCGAAAATTATGCAATACAGTTAATTAATAACAGATATAAAATCGACGAGTTAAACAAAGGAATGCACGTAACCGACGCAAATAAGATGCGTCTTATCACGATCGTGTAAAAATGATGAATGAGAGAGGCTAAATAATTTGATTAATCTCAATATATTGCTGCGTTGCAGCTTTACAGAACGCCGTTTTCAGTACTTCTATGATTAGTTTTAGAAGCTTTATAATTTACATATTCTGATAAACAAAAAAAATAATGATACTCGATACAAGACATGCAAGAGATCGATGAGAATTAGAAAAGGTCGTCTAGCAATTAGATAACATTGTGATTTTATTGGTATTCTTGACTTTAAATTCACTCTGACTTAGTTGATTTTCTAGACTGATTTGTACAGTTATTTGAAACTTTCTATCATTATCGATGTATTTTTATTTCGATAAAAGAGCTAACTGTAAATCGCTGGCATAAATTCAATGAACAACAGATTTCGAACGATACGGATCCCATGAAAAAAATTTTTCGAGAAAACCACGGTTAATTGCGGTATCATTTTAAAAACCGCGATTCACCGCGGTTTTATGCATTACGTTAAAGAAAACCGCGGTGTAGTGGACGATAACCGCGATATTAAATATAGCGGTTGTTACCGGTTTCGTATACTGTGGTGTAGTACATGATAACCGCGGTTTTAAATGCAGCGACTGTTACCGATATCCTATACCGTGGTGTAGTGCATGATAATCGCAGTATTAAATACAGCGGTTGTTACCGGTTTCGTATACCGCGGTGTAGTGTAAAATAACCGCGGTATTTAATACAGCGGTTGTTACCGGTATCCTATACCACGGTGTAATGAACAATAACGGCGGTATTAAATACAGCGGTTATCACCGATATCCTATACCGCGGTGTAGCGAACGATAGCCGCGGTATTTAATATAGCGATTGTCAACGGTTTCATAAACCGCGGTTTGTTGAACAATAACCACGATAATCAATTAAGCGGTTGTCAACGGGTTCTTAAACCTCGGTCTGTTCAATAATAACCACAGTATTAAAAATTCCGAGTTTGAGCAGTTTCACAAGCTTCTCACGTTTATCAACCTATAATCAGGAATGGATGAATATTCATCATTTTTTTTATATAGGCTCACTATTGATTAAGTAGTGTCCCGCATATACAACAATATTATAACACCCACGGAAAAAATTTTTTCGAAAAATCGCTCGGAACCGCGGTTTTTTTCCTTCGACTGCGGTTTTACTAGAGGAAACCGCGGTTTGTAACGGTTTTTTGAAACGGCGTTGCTTGTATTCATGATCGCGGTTCTAAATACCGCAATATTCAACGGTTTAAAAAGTCACGGTATAGTAATTGGAAACCGCGGTATTTCAAAGCATGGTATTCGACGGTTTTCAAAACCACGGCATAGTCATCAGTCACCGCGATGATAAATACCGCAGTATTCAGCGGTTTCAAACACCGCGGTATGCCTTTGAATAACTGCGTTATTTATTACCGCGTTTTTTAGCATAGAAACCGCGGTATTTTTGGTGCTTAAACCATCTCAATGGACTGTGTAAGGACGAAGAGGATGTCTTGCCCTGCTATTTTCATGAAAATTTCGAATAAGTTTTCTTATTCTATCTCTCACTACAAAGTAACTTTGTGGTAATGGAACTTCTAAAAGTTCACTACAGGCCCCTTAAAGGATGACTCACCTGAATTTTATCATAAGTTCAGATCAGTCTGATCATACCTGAATCAGGTATGGTCACGGACACCGCGGTATGTGGCGGTTTAAAAAACCGCGGTTTCCAGCGGTTTTCGAAACCGCGAAAGTCAGACCTTTTCGGTTTCTCAAAACCGGAGAAAACCGCAGTCAAAATAACCGCTAAAAACCTCGGTCCTTAAAACAGCGGTTTTAGCCGGTTTTTCTCGATCACAGGAGTCAGACCATTAATGCAACTTTTGAAAACCGCGGAAAAACGCGTCCTCAAAAACCGCGGTTTTTTTCCGGTTATTCAAAGCTGCATTAATGGTCTGACTCCTGTGATCGAAAAAAATCGGTCAAAACCGCGGTTTTTTGCAATTTTTTTTTCATGGGATGTGTATGCTGTTTGAATAGCATTTTGAATCGTCGGATAAAAATCTTTTTATTTGATCTATGGATGAAAATGCTGGGTATTACTTAAAACTTGAATGTATTGGTTAGTTTCGTAACCTTTCCTGAGAAATGTAACGCAGTTTATTTTTCATTGGAAATTAACCCTTTGGCTCCCGGCTTTTTTCTGAAAATCCAAACTTTTATAAGAAATGTTTAAATAAGGTTTTTAGTTATTTTTTTGAAAGAAATCGCTTTTCTGTATCAAAGAAGCATTAGTAGTTCATTTTTGTATGATAGTTTTTAAAGCAACCAATGAAACGTAGAGCCACATTGCAGTCAACCTACAAATACCGTGTATCACGGCGAACATTATAGGATGTGCAAACCGCATTTTTTCGTAGAGATCGTTTTGATTGCGATGTTTGCAGAATAAATAAATAAAAACATGACGTCATCTACGAAGGTAGAAGAAAGAAGAGGGATCAATATGACAGAACAAAAGAGAGAAAAGATATGCGCCAGTTGAGAAATGAGATAACCTATGAGTTTTTTGACCTTACAGGTCATAGCACTATAGACGGTGATAAAGAGAAGGGATATTCCATCCTGGAATATCCCAAAATTGTAATAAGTTAAGAGGGAATAATCCTGCAGAGACTAGCCAATACGTGAGGTATATATCAACAGTCAACAAATACCAGGACGTATATATACGTCGCCAGGAGCCAAATGGTTAAAAAATTTGCTTCGAATCATTGATTTGGCTAGAAATGAAAAAGCAGGTCTAAAAATACATTCCTAAATGATCACAGATAGTCTGATTGCGATGCTGCAAATCTTTCTGATGTTAGTTGTTCATTTCAAACAAAAAATGCAGCATAAATGCAAAGGTCAACAATGTTAACCTTGATTAGTCGATCGCTTGATTGTCAAAATAGAGGAAGTTAATCTTTTACAAGAACTGTAAGGACAACGAGAAAACAAAATCTGTCATCAGTTGTCTTTGCTTGCAGATGACAGTTTCTTGCACTGTTGCTATACTCTTCGAAAGATTTTCTGTCAATCATCTGAATTTTTCTATTCAATCAAAAGTATGTCTTGTATGACATTTCCATATGTTAAGACTCAAGTATTAAGTGGTAGAAATGCATGTTTTATTTTATAGTAAACATTTAAATCAAATCTTTTTCTGAATTCTACTTGTGCTAATTAGAACTAAAGAATAATAATATTTGGTGACAAAAGACTACCATGCACTTTTCTTGTTCCTGTTCCAAAGAGAGAGAGGAAAAGATTTTGTGTCGATCTTCTTTGATTATCAGCAAATTACATGCAACTAAGGTGAAGATTGTTGAAAACATACATGCATAAAACTCATGTCCTTTTTTGTCTTGAAGAAGTTCATAATCGTGCTGATGGCTTTATATTGGACTTTAAGAAAGAAATAGCTATGGGTGGGACTATGGATATGAGTCTTGTTCTCACCTACAGTCCGTATTCTGAAATACACATTAATTTGCAAAAAATTAATAGTCATAGCAGTTCATTTAATATTATTCTGTAGTCGAAGACAACTCAACGAAACCTAGTATGGTCTATTTAACCAAAGAGAGCATGAACTCTTAGTACAAGCTATCAATAGAAAAGTCTGTTGGGAACGACATAAAAAATCGTGTGAATTTTCTTGTTTTTCAATCACATCTACATTCTCTGTTCAGATAAGTATTCCAATTATCCATTTGACATTTTTTGTGGAGTTGAACTAATGCCCATTCAGAAAAAAAGGCCGATGGGTATTTTTACAATAACTTTGCTCCACAACCATCTGTAGAGTTCGGGTTGGTGTCGTTTGAAAGAGGCTTACCCAGCGCATCGATCCATATAAAATTGTTGAGGTTCATTTCATGGGCACATGGTGATTCATGGTCATCTAGGAAGAATAGACTGTTGTGCTTAGGGGTCTACCAGCTCAAGCTCACGAACTCCGTTGAAATGAACTAAAGAACTGTTGAAATAGTCCTTTTGAACGAACTGAACTTTTTCGAACATTTCTTTTCACAAGAACTGATCTGTTCGAACAGTTCTTTTGAGCGAACTGAACTTTTTGAACAGTTCTTTTGAACGAACTAAACTTTTCCGAACAGTTCATTTCAAAAGAACTGATCTGTTTAAGAAGTTCGTTCCAAATTAACTGAGCTTAAAATTGAAATAGATTTTATTTCATGAAGTACCACTGGATTCTCAAGGACGATCTATGAGAGTACCCCTAGGACCTCGAGTACTACCCCATGGTGGTAGTCATAGGTTCTCAAGGACTATTCTATAGAGGTGTCTATAGATCCTTAAAGGGCATCCTGGGGGTGGGGGGGGGGAACACTAGGATGCTCTGAAGGTCTATTCTGTGGGTGTGGGTGTGGGTATCGGTGTGAGTGTGAGGTGTGGGGTGTGGGTGCTATTATAGAGAAGAATACCATCCACACCCACACCCACACCCACCCACACCGTCAGTCTTAGTTTTTCTCTTTAAATTATTATAAATCACCAAGATCAATGAGTTAGCTATATGCATCCTGTTGATTTTTTTGAACATGTATTTGTTTTTTCTTTTTCTTTTAGCCATCATCGTCCGTCGTTCAATAGTGAGTCATTTTTTCTTTTTTCTTTTTTTGAGTATGAGGGTAGAGGAGATTAAGACAAATTAGTGTTAGTAAGAGGGTGGGTGAGTTCTGTCCGTTGAGATTAGGGGTACTTTCTATAAAGAACTTCCGAGCAGTCCCTAAAATCCCGGCCAGGAACTATTCTGGTGCCCGTAGCAACACGATC